ATGGGAATGTGAATTCGTACAGCCACTAGGGAGAACAGTATGGAGTTTCCTTTAAAAAAGTAAAAATAGGGCTACCATATGATCTAGCAGTCCCACTCCTGGGCATAAATTAGGAGAAAACCGTAATTCAAAAAGATACATGCCCCCCAATGTTCATAGCAGCATTATTTACAATAGCCAGGACATGGAAGCAACCTAAATGTCCGTCAACAGATGAATGGATAAAGAAGATGTGGTATGTATATATATATATATATATATATATATATATATATATATATAATGGAATATTACTCAGCCACAAAAAGAATGAAATAATGCCATTTGCAGCAATATGGATGGACCTAAAGATTATCATACTAAGTGAAGTAAGTTGGACAGTGAAAGATCAAATATCATATGATATCACTGATATGTGGAATCTAAAAAAAAGTGAGGGCTTCCCTGGTGGCGCAGTGGTTGAGAGTCTGCCTGCCGATGCAGGGGACACGGGTTCGTGCCCCGGTCCGGGAAGATTCCACATGCTACGGAGCAGCTGGGCCCATGAGCCATGGCCACTGAACCTGCACGTCCGGAGCCTGTGCTCCACAATGGGAGAGGCCACAACAGTGAGAGGCCCGCGTAACGCAAAAAAAAAAAAAAAAGTGATACAAATGAACTTATTTAAAAAACAGAAACAGACTCACAAACAAACTTCTGGTTACCAGAGGGGAAAGGTGGGGGAGGGGAATAAATTAGGAGTTTGGGATTAACATATACACACTACTATATATAAAATAGATAATCAATAGAGATCTACTGTATAGCACACAGATCTCAATATTCTAAAATAACCTAAATGGGGAAAAAAATCTGGAAAAGAATAGATATATGTGTATGTATTACTGAATCACTTTGCTGTACACTGAATCTAACACAACATTGTAAATCAACTGTATTCCAACATAAAATAAAAGATTTTTTAATTTATTGATATATATCAATAATGCTATATGTTATATTTTTTAGATTCCACATATATGTGATATCATACAGTATTTGTCTTTCTCTGTCTGACTTATTTCACTTAGCATAATGCCCTCCAAGTCCATCTGTGTTGCTGCAAATGGCAAACTTTCATTCTTTTTTATGGCTGAGTAGTATTCCATTGCATATATCTACCACATCTTCTTTATCCATTCATCTGTTCATGGACACGTACGTTACTTCCATACCTTGGCAATTGTAAATAATGCTGCTGTGAACATTGGGTGCATGTACCTTTTCAGATTAGTGTTGTTGTTTCTTTTAGATATATATACCCAGGAGTGGAACTGCTGAGTCATATGGTATTTCTACTTTTAGTTTTTTGAGAAACCTCCATCCTGTTTTCCACAGTGGTTGCACCAGTTTACTTTCCCACCAGCAGTGTATGAGGGTTCCCTTTTCTTCACATCCTCACCAGCATTTGTTTGTGTTCTTTTTGATGATGGCCATTCTGACAAGTGTGAGTTAAATTTTTTTCTTGTAATAAAAAGTCATGTGGTAAGCAGTTCAGGTCTGGTTCAGCAGCTCCATGAAGCCGTCAAGTACCCTTCCTAATCTGCCATCCTTAGCATGTGGCTTTGATTGTTCCCTCTCCAGGTATTGTGTGCAGGCTCTGGACAAAAAGCAGGGGAGGGCTTCCCTGGTGGCGCCGTGGTTGAGAGTCCACCTGCCGATGCAGGGGACACAGGTTCGTGCCCCGGTCCGGGAAGATCCCACATGCCGTGGAGCGGCTAGGCCCGTGAGCCATGGCCGCTGAGCCTGCACGTCCGGAGCCTGTGCTCCGCAATGGGAGAGGCCACAACAGTGAGAGGCCCGTGTACCACAAAAAAAAAAAAAAAAAAAAAAAAAAAGCAGGGGAAGGGGCAGAAGGCATAGGTCAACTGAACTTTGTAAGTCTCACCCAGATTTCCTCATGCATCTCATTGGCCAGAATTGGTTCACATGACCCTTAGCTATAAGGTATCTGAAGAGGCAAGTACTTTCTTGAACAAAATTAGAGTTGTAGTAGTAAGAAAGAAGAGGAGATTGATACTGGATAGGTAACTAGCAATGTCCTTCAGTGTTAACTTACATAGACATTCAGTGTTTCATTACATAGTGATTGGGATGGGTGGGAAAGCCCATAATAGGTGATTAATAGATAATTGTTGAGTAAATATGCTTTAAAAACCCACAGTAAGTAACACTTGTCTTGAATCACCTTAAGTTTGTCAAGCAATGTTGCTGTTGCATTGTGATTTTAGAGGTGAATTTTTCCTTGAGTCTTGTTACTTCAAATTTCATGTCTCTTAAACTTATTTGCATCTTCCTTTACAGTTAGTTTCCTTTTGACAGAACTTGTTAGAAATGCTTGTATAACTGAATGACCTTTTTACCAATTATGATTGTGCTTAAAATTTCATTTCATGTCATAATTTTTGTGTCTTCGGTTTTAGGGATACATCCATGTGATCTACAGGAGCTAGAGATATAATTGTTGTTATGTTTTTCTCTTATAAGAGCTAAGTCAAAAAAATATATTGAATATTTCGGGGTTAAGAGAAATATAAGCCAGTGAAGAATAATTGTTGAGGTCACTTAGTCCAGCTGCTTTATTTATACATGAAGAAATGAGGATCAGAGAGTTTGTGACATATCTAAAGATACACCACTAGCTGAATTAGGATTACTGAACCTAGGAGTCTTGAAACTAATGTTACTCTTCATTTTATTTTGTCACGTTGTTACTCAAATCAAAATCAGTTTAAAGGACTTATTCATTCACCACCCCAAAAGCAAAGTGTCATTTTAGCTTGGGTGGGAGTCACAGTGAAAATCCTGGGTTGCTTTTTTTTTTGGCGGTACGCGGGCCTCTCCCGTTGCGGAGCACAGACTCCGGATGCGCAGGCTTAGCGGCCATGGCTCACGGGCCTAGCTGCTCCGCGGCATGTGGGATCTTCCCGGACCGGGGCACGAACCCGTGTCCCCTGCATCGGCAGGCGGACTCTCAACCACTGCACCACCAGGGAAGCCCCTGAGTTGCTTTTTGAACCAAAATATATAGAAAAAATATGAAATTGTGTTTAGTATACTCTTTGTATTAGGCTAAAGTTATTTATAAAGATGGTAATCTGTATTTTAATTGTTAACCAAGATATTTATTTAATTAGACTTCCTGATACATTAACCAATTTCAATGAAAGAATTTACTAAACCTACTTAATCAATGGGAAAGGGAAGACATTCAAACTAGATAATTTCTGCCATGTCTTTAATTTTCTTAGTGACATGCATATGTTAAATAAGTATATGACAGTTAAAGAGGGAGGCACAATACTCTAATCTCAGGTTCTCAGTAGTTATCAGTGGTTCTTGAATTTTTTATTTGCAGTATGATTGAACATAAAAGAAATGATGGTTTGTAATAAAAGTACTTAACTTTTTAAAAGAAATGTTGAATTCTCAGTTTAAAGAATATGTCCTACTTCATCTCACTTCTGTCTATTACATTTTATTCCCACGAAAACGTTGAAACTGGTGTATCAACTTGGCAAGAATCTGTTCATAAAAAAGTTTTTAATTCCTATCTTGGTAAAAGAAGTGAGGTTTCAGTTGCAAGGATAGGGTGAGGAAAATTTAGGTAAAATTAGTAGTTAAAGAATTCTGAAAACACTACTCAGATTCCCTGAGCACAAGTTTAAAGCGTATATGCATTCTCTGTAATTCCATTCAAAGATTTATGATATTTACTAAATATGACTCTTGTTATATTTATTTATTTATTTTTAATAAATTTATTTATTTTATTATTGGCTGTGTTGGGTCCTCGTTGCTGAGCGCGGGCTTTCTTTTAGTTGCGGTGCGCGGGAGCTACTCTTCATTGCAGTGTGTGGGCTTCTCATTGCAGTGGCTTCTCTTGTTGTGGAGCTTGGGCTCTAGGTGCGCTGGCTTCAGTAGTTGTGGCACGCGGGCTCTAGAGCGCAGGCTCAGTAGTTGTGGTGCACGGGCTTAGTTGCTCCACGGCATGTAGGATCTTCCCGGACCAGGGCTTGAACCTGTGTCCCCTGAATTGGCAGGCAGATTCTTAACCACTGTGTCACCAGGGAAGCCCCATACTTTTGTTATATTTAAATTTGCACTATTAGATACTCCATGAAAGTTGGAAATATATAGCCGATAAGGTAAAAAGAGGAGTTGACAGATAAACACAGTTTCCTTATAAAATACTAACTTCTGAAATGTTCAGTAATGGCATGTGATAAAGTAAACTGTAATATAACCATATTGAGGGATGTTACATAATTAAGTCAAATTTCTGTAAAGGCATTTAATATCATAAGAAAATGCTAATGTTTCAGTGAGAAAAATGGGGCAGCATGATCCCAGTGTTCTCAAAAATATATAAGACTAGAAGGAAGTAACCTAAAATAAAATATTAATAGTGATTGCCTCTGGGTATTTGGATTATGGGCATGTTTTTTGTTTCTCTGTTTTTCATTTTCTGTACAGAATTGTTACTTTTATAACCTGATAAAACATAAAACATTTTCCCACTGCCTTGCTCATGTTACCTCAGTTAAATGAAGTGCTCAGTGACTTGCAAAGAACAGTTGTCAGGTTTTAAAACAAATATGGTCTTTTGGAAATGTTTTATGATATATTCTTAGTTTCATATTTTTGAGCCATCACTGGAGCTTGAATAAATTATTTGAGATGCATAAATATTTACATTTCATTGAGAACATTGAAGCTAAAAGTTTAAAGCAGAAACCTGAGTTTTTCTAAATAATAGTTTTTTTAATATCTAAAAGTTGTACTTCAGAGTTTGGTAATTTTCTTTACTGTGTGATTTTATTTTTTATTGTCAGATGTCCAGTGACAGAAGCCACCTCTTTTAAGAGAGAAACTTTGAATGGATATATATTTTATGTTTTGCCTTATATATTTTATAATCTTGAATGCTTAGATTCATGTGAACGTTTTCTGATTTTTAGAGCAACGGAAGGAAAGTGAAAAGATGAAAAGTGTTGAGCAGCGAGTAGATTCAGAAAACTGTTCTACACCCAATGCTCTAGAAGAGACTACTGTGAAAATAGAAAAAGAAGATGAAAAGGAACTTGTAAAACTGCCTGTCATAGTGAAGCTAGAAAAACCTTTGCCAGAAAGCGAAGAAAAAAAGAGTATCAAAGAAGAAAGTGATTCCTTCAAGGAAAATGTCAAACCCGTAAAAGTCGAAGTGAAGGAATGTAGAGCAGATCCTAGAGATATCAAAGGTAGCATGGAGAAGCCAGAGCCTGAGAGGCTAGATTTTGCTGGCAATGTTAAATCTTCTCAAGAAATCACTGAGAAGTCTACTGAAGAAACCGAGAAACTTAAAAATGACCAGCAGGCCAAGATACCACTAAAAAAACGAGAAATTAAACTGAGTGATGATTTTGACAGTCCAATCAAAGGACCTTTGTGTAAATCAGTTACTCCAACAAAAGAGTTTTTGAAAGATGAAATAAAACAAGAGGAAGAGACTTGTAAAAGGATCTCTACAATCACTACTTTTGGTCATGAAGGGAAACAGCTGGTAAATGGAGAAGTTAGTGATGAAAGGGTAACTCCAAATTTTAAGACAGAACAGATGGAGATGAAGTTTTATGATACAAAGGAAGATAGCTGTAGCCCCTCTAAGGACAGAAGTGTCATCATGGAGGGAAATGGAGCAGAGTCTTTAAATTCTGTCATAACGAGTATGAAAATAGGTGATCTTGAGAAAGAAGTGGTCACTTCAGGGAAAGATGCAGATAGTTCAATATCAGCCTTAGAGACACAGAGTCACAAAGGGCACATAGAGGAAACTGGTCCTCCAGAAATGGAAACTCCTCTTGAGACTTCTGAAATAGCAAAGGATCTCTCTTTAAAAACTGCTTTATCTACCGCTGAATCCTGTAGCATGAGAGTTGAAGAGAGGTCTCCCAAAAGTAAGAAGGATAAGCGCCCACCAGTCCTAGAATGTCTTGAAAAGTTAGAGAAGTCCAAAAAGACTTTTCTTGATAAAGACACACAAAGATTGAGTCCGATACCAGAGGAGGTTCCAAAGAGTACTGTAGAATCAGTAAACGCAGGGTTTCCCGAGACAGCTGAAACTTCTCCATCATCTAACGTGACTGTCCACTGTGAGAAACTAGCCTCAGAAAAAGAAGTGGTAGAGTGTCAGAATAGCAGTTCCACTGAAGGTCAGTCTTTGGAGAAAATAGACCCAGAAATTTTAAAAGTGGATGCTGAATCCACAAAGGTAGAAGTGGATGATCTGGACAATGCCCAGACCTCTGGCACAGGTGATCCTTCTGAGACAAAGGGTTCTATGCAAAAAAGCAAATTTAAATATAAGTTGATTCCTGAAGAAGAAACCACTGCCTCAGAGAACACAGAAATAACCTCTGAAAGGCAGAAAGAGGGTATCAAATTAACAATTAGGATATCCAGTCGGAAGAAGAAGCCAGATTCTCCTCCCAAAATTCTAGAGCCAGAAACCAAGCAAGAGAAGACAGAAAAGGAAGAAGAGAAAACAAATGTGGGTCGTACTTTAAGGAGGTCTCCAAGAATATCTAGACCCACAGCAAAAGTAGCTGAAATCAGAGATCAGAAAGCTGATAAAAAAAGAGGGGAAGGAGAAGATGAAGTGGAAGAAGAGTCAGCAGCTTTGCAAAAAACTGAGAAAAAAGAAAATTTGAAAAAAACAGAGAAGGATACAAATTCTAAAGTAACCAAGGTAAAATTTCTTCTACTCTGAGTTTTAATTTTTCTTAGAAATACTTGGCTCTGAGTGTTTGTAGCTGTTTGCTTTTGGCTAAATTAGCTCGTTCAAAGATAACTAAAAGAACAACCACCACAAAAAAGCCTCTCTTCCTATATCTGAGATGTTTTTTCGTAGTAGTTATCTCCAGACATTAAATTTCAGACTGTATAATCTTGTCATCTTTTAAACTTTTTCTCTATTATAGGCAATATAGAAATATATTCTCTGTATTGTAAACTATCCAAGTAATACCTAACCTGTATGATTGAAAAATGAAAATTCCTTAGAAACACTATTAACAGTTTGGGCTTCATCTCTTTGCAGTCCTTTTTCCATATATTCATGTCCATGTTCGTAAATACTTCCCATTCTTTTAAAAAATAGATCGAATCAAATTATTTTTCTATGAGCTTTTCACTTAACAGTGTGTGTCTGAACTCTACATATCAGTAGATATAGTCTACTTTTTGGTTATTGGCAGCCACGTAGTATTCCATAGTGTGGGTGTACCTCAGTTTATTTAACCACTCCCTGCTTGATTGACATTTAGGTCGTTTCCAATTTTTCACTATTACAGGCAGTGCTGCATTGAAGATCCTTTTGGACATGAGTGAGTATTTCTTTAGAATAGACCCCTAGAATTGGAATTGCTGGGTCAAGGGGCATATGTGTTTTAAGTTCTGATGGCTTTCTCTATATTGCCCTCCAAAAAAGGCCCAGTTAATGTACCTTCTCATTGCCAGTGTTTGAGAGTGCCTCTGTGTCCCCATTTTAATCATTAGTCATAGAGCCAGAATTTTTTTTTCTATGACCCTCTTATTTTAAGCAAAATCTAGTACAAGTCTTTGGCTAGCCTATGGGAGTTTGTTGTAATTAAAAGTGCTACTTTTGTTTTTGATATATTTAAGTGGTCAGATTGTTCTTAATTGCAAGTGATCCTTTGTCCCCTGAAATACTAAATTTTTATTTAAAAAAAATTTCCCCTTCTGTTGTTAGAATTATTTTGGTCTTTGGTGGGGACTTACACTGTAGGAGTGAACAGAAATATGACTTAAAATATTGTGAAGCCAGCCAATAAAAAGCAGTTCCCAACATTATAAAGTTATTCTCTGAATAATATTTTTTAAGTTTATCAGGATTTTTGTATGCATTTTTTTTTTTGTATGCATTTTTGACCCATTAAATTTTTTAAATTCATCACTAATACGGGAATTAAATTTTTTATGTAACAATATAGTCATCGCTCTATTATAGAGCCTTTGAAAAGTGCATGATCTTTGACCCAGAATCCTCTTCGAGGAATTTATCCTAACCACAGAAGTGTGTGTAAAAGTTTGTATTTGCAAGGATACACTGTTTATGAAAGTGAAAAATGGAAAACTACCTAAATGTCTGTCTAGTAGTGGATTAGATAAATATAGCTATGTGATGGCTTATACATATATATACACACACACATGATGTTAGGAGACTATTTTATAACTAGGGAAAATAGTTGTAAGACAGAACGTTCATTATAATTCTCCCTTCCAAAAAGTAGAAAAAATTAATGGAAATATATACCAAAATTTAATAGTAGGTATATCTGTGGATGAAGCCACAATAATTTTTCTTTTCTTCTTTGTGTATTCACTAAATATTCTACAATGCACATATAATCAGAAGTGTTTTTTTTAACATTCTTATTACATCAGATTATCCTAATGTTTTATTTTATACAAGGTAAAACCCAAAGGCAAAGTTCGATGGACTGGGTCTCGAACACGTGGCAGGTGGAAATATTCCAGCAATGATGAAAGTGAAGGGTCTGACAGTGAAAAATCATCTGCAGCTTCGGAAGAGGAGGAAGAAAAGGAAAGTGAAGACGCCATCCTAGCAGATGATGATGAACCATGCAAAAAATGTGGCCTTCCAAACCATCCTGAACTAGTATGTACCTGATCTAAATGGACAGTATTCAAATTATTGGTATGCTGTGGTGTGAAGCAGCCTAACTTCTGGGTTTGATCATGATTTCAGTTTTATGTGTGCAAAATAGCCTTTATTTCTGTTTCTCAGATAATAACCCAACTCTAGGGAGGATTAGGATCTTGCTTTCATTCTTACCTGGCTTTATATTGATATTTCCTCTACTTAAGCATGCACTTCTAATCTCTTCTCACAGATCAATTAGTTTATTCAAATATTTCTATTCTGTTTTTTTCCTTTAAAGTTTTCTTCTTTTCCTTTAAGTTACTTTATAATGATATTTCTGAAGTGGCAGCTTTAAATAAGTAAGACCTGAAGGGCCTGTTGCCTTTCTGTAAAAACATGTAAGTCAAGTAGTAACCTAGTAGGGCTTTAAACTTTACAAAGTGGACAGTTGTAAAAAAAATTTTAAGAGGATAATTATAGACTAGATATATTCAGAAAAATAGTGACAGATTTACATGGGACTTCCTTATTTAGGAAGTAAGTTCTTCAAAGATTGCCTAAATCAGGAAAACCAGTTCCTAACCTATATATATAGTTTTGCAGTTCATAAGTGCTTTCTAAAGAACCTATTGAGGAAACACTCATGTTATGCTCAATTCTATGCAACCGTTCTGTTCTTTTGAATAGATTTGACTTTAAAAGCAAGGTCCACCTATTAAGCAGAAAGAGACATAAAGAAAGAAACTTCCACATAGGTTGAGTTGTATGGGAGCAGAAATAAGTTATGTAAAGTTGCCAAGCACAGTTCCTGATAATCTGTTGTGTGCTGGGGTAAAGCTGTTTTCTTCCTACATGTGAAAATCGTATCTGGAAACCAAATCAGTGAAGTTCATCAAATTCCAGTAGTTGCAGAGGGTTCAAGTAAAAGATGTAACTTAGACCCAGAGAATAACTTTAGCTCCGAGAAGAACACTTGTCAAAAGTACACTGAGAAGACCCTTCTAAGCATTTTTATGATCATCAAACTATAAAAGTTAGGTAAAGACTTTCGTGTGGAGAAGGGCAAAGAGAAGATTGAGATAGTGGTCTTTTCTGCCCCTAAATCAAGTAAAAATCAATATTTGTGTTCTTTCCCTACCATTTCCTAATATTTTTTTATACTGAGAGAATGCATTTTGACTGGGGCAGCAATAGACGTCAATGACAAAGGGGTGTGAAGAAATGAAAAGTAAAATGAGGTGAGCAGAAATGACACCCAGGAGATGGAGAAAGTTGTACCCTTCTTGGAACACACATAGGATTTTTATTTGGTTATCTTAATAACTGCTCTGAAAATCCCATTGCTGGTTATTGTGCCAAAGAGAAAGACATTGGAAACTGAAGATCCCAAATATGGTGGATTTCTTACGCTAGATATTTAAGGATAATCCTCAAATAAAAATATTAGGCAGCTGTTGTGTGTTAAGTGGTAGGGAAATGATGGTGAATTAGATGTGGTCCTTGTTCTCTTTGAGCTTACAGCAGAAAAGCAATAAATTCATAGATGAGTATAGAACTCTATCGGGTTTTTCAGATGTTTTAGTGAAAATAAGTGGATCATTGCCTGAAGCTTGGAAATCTCACGTAGTAGTATTTATTTTAATGGGTTTTTACCTTTCTTGAAGAATAGAGACAATCATCATTTTAGAAATAAACTGAATTCTAAAAGTTTATTTTTAACTTTGTTATTTGAAATTTAGATTATGTTTTAACATAGAAATGATGTGATAAATAGAATCAGGTGCCCAGGTTAGTCCACATATGCCTGTGTAAGCAATCAATCACATAACTGAAGTATAATGTTAATATAACTTACATTGAATTCTGGCTATTGGTAGCAAACGGAGAAGGGAGTTTTCCACTTTTAAAATGTGTGCACATTCCATCCCCCACTCTAAACCCTCCCCATGGTACATGTTAGCAATTCAGAAACTATATATAACTATATACAAATAAAACTATATACAAATAAATAAAGTGTAGATAATGGGAGCCAGCTTTCTCACTGGTAAAGGAGTTACAAATAAGGCTGAAGGCTAGAATGAACCCTGTGGTGCTGGATTAGATGGTGAGTTATTAGTATGAACTCATACTTATTTTAATATAGATATATGTATATACATGGGGTACTATACATACATGTATTTCCTATCTCTGTCCTCTGTGAGAACTTAGAATCAGGGATACCCAGGAGCAGTGAGCACTCAGCACCCAGATCTCGATTTCTAAATACCATTCTCCAATAAAGGAACCAGTGTTTCTGGGGAAAATGGCTGATTCTAAGGCTTGGGCAAGGAAAATATAAGATGTGCCTAGAGTATCCTGTATTACCAGAAAGTAAGGAAGTGCTTTAAAAAAAAATAAAAGCATGCAAATGAGTCCTAAGGACACAGGGGCCAACCTGAAAACTCCTAGTATATCAATGGCTAGAACAATTTGAACAATAAATTAAATATTTGTTTTAGATTATAACCCAAAGAATAAAATAATATTCATTAGTTCATTCTGATAAAAATAAATAATTGAATAAACAAAAAAATGGGGTAATGGGGGAGGGACTTTTTTTTTTTTTTACAGAAGAATTCCAAATAGCAAATGTTGAGGGCATGAGGAAAACAGAAAATCACCATTAGAACACCACAGTAATAATTGTTTTGTTTTGTTTTGCTTAGTTCCCAGACCAGGGATCGAACCCAGGTCCCAAGCAGTGGAAGCGCAGAGTCCTAACCACAGGACCACCAGGGAATTCCCAGTAATAATTATTGCAGCAAGATCCACTGATGAGTCCTAAAACTAGTGGGTGAAGCTGTAAGGAAAACCAGGGTATAGCATAGCTTCAACATATCTTCCCCCAAAATATTTATTAATTACTGTGGTGATTTTAACTTATCTCTACATATTCTTTGATACTCCTCTCTTCAGAAAGTGGAGCTTAATTCCCTTCCCCGTGAGTATGGGCTGGAGTTATCACTTTTAACAAGAATAGAGTATAGAAAGTGAAAAGTAACTTTACAGTGATAAAAAACAACAGACACTACTATAACCAAGTGATCAAAGTTAATATCACCAGTAATAAGTCATATTGTACAATTTGAACAGTAAGTTATCAAATTGTTACACTATCATGTACCCCCAGATATGATGTAGTGAGCAGGGCATTTCACCTCTATGGTATTCTCAAAAACCCATAACTTCAGTCTAATCATGAGAAGACATCAGACAAACCCAAACTGAGGGCAGTCTGCATAATATCTGAGTAGTACTCTGCAAAACTGTCAAAGTCATGGAAAGCAAAGAAAGACCAAGAAACTGTTACAGATCAGAGGAAATTAAGAAGAGATGATGAAATGCAGTGTAACATCCTGGGTTGGATCCTACAATCAAAAAAAGGGCAATAGTGGAAAAACTGGTGAAGTCCGAATAATGTCTGTTGTTTAGTTAATAGTTTTATACTGATGTTAATTTCTTAAGTTTTGGTAAATGTACCATGGTTATGTAAGATATTAACGTTAGTGTCCTATCTTGGCAACTCTTCCATAAATCTAAAATTATTTTAAAATAAATGATTTTTTTAAGTTCATGAGTGTGTACCATTTTAAGTTTTAGAGAACTGGTCATCTGAAACTCGAATAGCAAAAAATAATCAGCTTAAGATTAATTATTCGTAACTTTTTTATTTGAACATAATTGTCCTTAGTGTAGTTCCATTCCTCTCATGTTTGAATTTACATGATAAAAGGAGCCATGAATGTTTCTTACAGATACATAATTGAAATGCTATTTACAGTGGAAATTATTTGTATTTTAAAAATCCTGTGTGTGGTAGGGAAGTTTATGGTACTTCAGCTATAAAACTTTGTTATAAAGAATGTGTTATATTCCTCATGGCGTACCAAAAAAGGATTGTAACTCTAGTTCAGAAAAGACTTGTTATTTTTCACTTAATTTATTAGCTTAACATATTATTTTTCTTGGTTCTAAATCAAAAAAAAAATCATATCTTAGAGGGGAGTTTCCTGGCGGTCCAGTGGTTAGGACTCCGCACTCTCACTGCCAAGGGCTCGGGTTCAATCCCTGGTCAGGGAACTAACATCCCATAAGCTGTGCAGTGAGGCCCCCCCCCAAAAAAAAGACATGTTAGGATCCTAATTAGCAGAGCTTTTTTATTATTATGCTATATGCAGATAAAGAGTATAGTATAGTATAGTACTTAGTTTTATGCTAAGAAATATAGAATGTCTTTATTTTTAACTTGAGTCATTGAATATTAGTCATAGAGTTAGGTTGACAATCTGTGGTTTATTTCAGATTCTCCTGTGTGACTCTTGTGATAGTGGATATCACACTGCCTGCCTTCGCCCTCCTCTCATGATCATCCCAGATGGAGAATGGTTCTGCCCCCCTTGCCAACATGTATGATGACCCAGCACAGTTTTGTTTTTCCAGTCTTTGATTTTATGTTTAAATTAATAATATTTCTTGACAGCCACTAAACATTTTAATCTTCAATTTGTACATATTGTTCATCTCTTGTTTAAATTTCTGTGAAATTAGAGACTATTGATAAAAACTACCTTTTAGGGGTTCCCTGGTGGCATAGTGGTTGAGAGTCCGCCTGCTGATGCAGGGGACACGGGTTCGTGCCCCAGTCCAGGAAGATCCCACATGCCGCGGAGCGACTAGGCCTGTGAGCCATGGCCGCTGAGCATGTGCATCCAGAGCCTGTGCTCTGCAACGGGAGAGGCCACAACAGTGAGAGGCCCGCGTACCGCAAAAAAAACCCAAAAAAACAACTACCTTTTATTAGTATCTTTTAGGTCTTCCCTTTATTTTTTTTCCAAAGCAATTCTTAGAAGACCTCTGGGTTTTGTAGAATTATAATCTCTGGTTTATTTTTTCTCACATTCATTAAAGGCACAAAAACCCCCCAAATTAAGATAATATACAAGGGAAGAAATAAGTTTCTTCCTTTTGTTTATCCCTTTGTTTCATTCTCTTTTTCATTTCTGCCTACCTTCTTTTTGTCAGTTTTATAGATGGTATTATGAATTATGCACCATTATAATGTTACTATGAATAGAAACATGGATTCTGTTTCTCTCGTATCTCGATTCAGGTGGATTTCTTTTAAAACTGAAGAGCAGGATATTTTTTTGCATCCAAGAGGTCCTTTCTCTCACAAGCCCAGTCTCATTTTACTTTAAAAATGATGGCGTTGGGACTTCCCTGGCAGTCCAGTGGTTAGGACTCCACACTTCCCCTGCAGGGAGCATGGGTTCGATCCCTGGTTGGGGAACTAAGATGCCGCAAGCCGCACAGTGCAGCCAAAACCAAAAAAGATGGCCTTTGTTGCATTTCTTAGTGAAGTGGAATGTTTTTGGCTTAGCATCACTTTTGCAATTACATTCTTCAGCTCTGTTTTGACCCAGTAACCATGTGGCATGGTTTTGTAAATTCTTTTCCATTCTCTTTTTTAAAAAATAGTGATTGGCACCATTGTATTTTATTGTACATAAACCTTCTTCCTTAAAAATGTCTTAGGATTTAAAAAAAATTTTAATCACTGTCATGTATATACAGTGAACCAAATGCTATTTTAAACATTGATTACTGCCAGCAAGATAGGCATTGAACATGTTTCTCGGCAAAGCTATAAGTTTCTTTAACATGTGTGTTACTTTAAAGATACCCTGCTCATCTTCAGTTCAGTGGATGAACTGAAGCAGCATGTCTTTATTTAATTAAATATAAGGAACATTTCAGTGTTCACTACGTGGCCCCTTATCAGCTCTCAATAGCATGGTATCTGTAGCTAATAGGCAAGAGATAAATGATTGTGGAAAGGTGTGTAAAATGACACTCATCTGTTTTATTTTTTCAGAAACTACTGTGTGAAAAATTAGAGGAACAATTGCAGGATTTGGATGTTGCCTTAAAGAAGAAGGAGCGTGCTGAACGCAGGTATTGTGATATGTGTGTTAATGTTTTACTTGGGAATTTGACCTCAGAATTGTCTTCCTGTATAGACTAATGTGTCTGTCTAAAGCAGGGTTTGGCACACTCTGACCTGTGGGCCAAATATGGCCTGGCTAAGAATGGTTTTTTTCTTTTTTAAATGATTAGAAAAAAACCAAAAATCATATGTCATGGCACATGAAAATTGTATATTCTGATTTCATTGTCCATAAATAAAGTTTTATTGGAACATAGCCATGCTCATGTTTATATGTTGCCTGTGACTACTTTTGCACTACAGCAGTGGAGTTGAGTAGTTGCAACAGGGACCTTATTACCCAAACCTAATTTATTATCTGTCCTTTTACAGGAAAAGTTTGCCAATCCCTGATCTAAAATGTATATCAGAACCTACTCTGAATAAGTATTGACCCAAGTATTGTGGAGTATATGTAGCTAAGTATGTAGGGAGTACAAGAAAACTGTAAGAACTGGTCTACAGTTTAGTTACCCATGTCATCTCTTTGGGTGGGCAGAATTAACACTGGTGAAATAAAGAGCATTTAAATGCTGAACTGTGTCCTATTGACTGTAAGCAATGCCTCCCTTTTCAATATGCCACTGCAGTGTGGTCTAAAGCAGTTGAAGAAGGCTTCTTGGAGGAGGTAAGATTGGAGTTGAGCTTAATCTTTAAAGGGGGCTCAAAATCAAGACAGTAATGTTTGTATTTATTTATATTTATATGTACCTTTGTTGATTAGTCTACTGCTAAACATTCATTCATTCCTACTGTGTTCCAAACTGAAGAGAAAAGATGAGTAAGACAAAGCTCTTGCTTACCTGGAGCTCACCTTCTACCAGAGGATGCAGATGTATGAACCAGTGATTCAATAAAGTAGACAAATCGACGTATATTTAGAGCAATACTAGAACATTGTGGAGGAGCACTTTAGTTCTCCTAGGAGTTGGGGTTATCAGGGAAGTCCTTGGAAGATAACTAGGGGTTATATAGGTGGACATGCAGAGAAAGGATATTTCTGGCAAAGAGCACAGTACAAGCAGAGAGAGTGTAAATGAGTGGTGGGGGATGAAGCTATAAAGGAAACTGAGGCCAAATTGTGAACAGCTTTGCATAACTGGCTAGGAAATTTGAATTATTCTCTAGAGGCATGGGGGAGCCATCAAAGGAGGGATATGCATAATCAGACTTTTATTTCAGAAAAAATGCCCTGGTAACAGTAAGAAGAAGGAATTCGAGTTGAGGCTGTTGGAATAAAGTCTGTGAGAGCCAGTGAGGCCTGAACTAGAGCAGTCATCATGATAATACAGTAGAGAGGTTGAAGAGAATTTTCAGAGGATTAATCAGTAGGACTTGATGCCCATCTGAGAAAAATCTAAGCAGTGTCTCCTGATTGCTCCTTCATTTGCTGCTACTTTAACTCTTACCTCCTGTCACATAGTATTCCCCTCAAAACTTTAGTTTGCGTTGAGACAGTCTGCTCATTCCATAGTCCACACACTTTGTGCCAAGTTGAACCTTAAAAATGAGTTCAACTTCTAGATCCTTTTTCCTCTTTACTGCTCACCTTGAGCTCTCTCTGGCTCATGATGTATGCTGCTTAGTTTAAAGGCAAAGTTTATCTCTGAAGTTCACTAGGAGATAAAAGTAGTACTTTTTTTTTTAATTGGTTGTCTAAATACCTTTATATTTAGGAACTAACAGTCCTGTATACAGTTATTAGGACTATTTTGATGTACGAACTGCTCCTGTCATAATTTTTGACACTGGAAAAGATCTAACTAAGGATGCTTCAAATTAAATCATAATTAAAAATTAGACTCGGTCTTCCTGCAATCTGCCTGCCCTTCTGAGAAATGAGTTCATGTTCTGAAGCTGATCTGACTTAGCAGTGTAGATAGCTAATAGGCTCTCACCCTTTAAGGACTTGGAAGAAAGTAGATTCTCTCTAAAAGCCAAGAATGTAAACCACTAAGAGTTTGTCTCATACTCACATTATATCCGTTTATTCTTCGGAGGCCTGTGATGCTTGTACATTTTCTATGTGGAAAGATTGGTGAACGTATATTTTACTCTTGCCTCACATACTTTAGAATATGCTGCTGCAGTTAAATACTTTCAGTTTTAGAAATTTATGTTAAAATGTGCCACATTTGGGCTTCCCTGGTGGCGCAGTGATTGAGAGTCCGCCTGCCGATGCAGGGGACACGGGTTCGTGCCCCGGTCCGGGAAGATCCCACATGCCGCGGAGCGGCTGGGCCCGTGAGCCATGGCCGCTGAGCCTGCGCGTCCGGAGCCTGTGCTTCGCAACGGGAGAGGCCACAACAGCGAGAG